GGCAGTCGTTGCCTGCACTTTGGCAACTGGCCTGACTTCATTTGATGTCACCGCTGGCAAGACGGACTCAACCCTAAGCTGTAGAAGGGCATTGGTATCTTCTGCTGGCAAAGGTTGGTCCCATGATTGAAGCTGAGGTCTGGAGATCTGTACAAGAAAGGATTGCCCATGAGATGCCTGAAAAACGGTTGAATCCCTTATTTCAAAACCTTCAAACCAAGCACTACAACTATGACCTGGCCAGACTTGTCGACCCGAAGCGTCCACAAGTCTCTGTCTGTTGAGATCCCTTGGAAGCACTGTGGCAATGGTGGAAGGCGCACCCCTTCCCAAAGCCTCGTCATAGATGGTGACTAGTCCTCCAATGTCTGTGGAGCCAGGTTCAAATTGCTGAAGCGCAAGAACGTGAATATGGTCAATTGGCCAGCCTGGGGGCGTTGGGCGGACAAAAACAAATGTAATGTCTGCACTGGCATCTGCAAGGTCTGCCCATTTCTCTCTGATCTGCTGTTCCCACTGAAAGAAGTCTTCGCCAAGAATCACAGGACGAGACTGTTCGTTGAAAGGAACAAATTGAGCATCCAAATACCATGTGTTAATTTCAAGCAACATCTCCAGACCGGCTGGTCCTCGGCGTGAAAATTGAGTCCAGTATTCATGTAGTTCACGAGTGAACTCAGAATGATCTTCCAGACGCATCGAAATGTCAAAAGCATCTGGAATGGGGCCAGTCTGAACAATTTCCACACAATTTGGATATGAGAGTATGTCAATATGGGCTCTTGCACCGAAAGGCGGGATAACTAACCTCAAGTTCTCACCAATCACAATGGGCATCGTCCATGTGTGTCTGATGCCTCCTGAAATGGCTCCTCTGTGCAATGTGCATAGGCGTCCCCTGCAAACCCTGTCCAAATTGAGCCGCTGGACAATCGCCACAGGAGTGGCAGAAGGGTCACCAACAACGCATGCAATTGTGGTTCCATGATCTTCCAAAGCAACAAACTGAATGGTCGTGAGAAAAGGGACAAGTCTCTCATTCGGGAATTGATAAATGATCAGGTGACCTGCTGACCTAGACATTGGCTGCGGTGGTGGCGCTGGCATGACCCAAACAACATGTATGGGGATTCCCTCTTGGATTTTGTCTCTCCAAAGGTGTTGGATGTCATGTTGCCACAAATTGTGCATGGAGTCAAGTCGCAATGGTCTTGACACTTCTGTTACCGACTCTTCTCTGCAGTCAGCATACCACGTGTCATAGTAGCACACAGGACCTTCATTGTCGTTTTCAACAATTGCATGCTGACCAAAGGTGGTGAAAAGTCCTCTGTACCAAAACGGCCATGACCAAATTTCCTCAATGTTGAAAGCAAGCAAACAAGAGCTATTGACAATTTGTTCAACTTGTTGTGCAAGATTCACATTGTTATCGGAAGAAGCTGCGGCCGGCGCATTTGGCAGTTGCATTTGTGAATGGTCATCTTGGTCAGTGTCTGAGTGAGGGCCAAATTCTCTCTTGATTGCTTCAGAGTCGATGAGGCTTGGCGAGACACTAGAATGGTCAGAACCCGATGCATCTTCCGGGCTCGATGGCACATAATACCGTCCCCAGAAGTCCTCAACTGTCAAATGATGGCTGTCATTCAGCATTTCTTGTGTCCCAACCCTGCAATCAGTCGGAGGTGGAATAAGGATTCTTATGTAGTCACCATGTTGCATGTCAATTGGCAAACGATTTTGAACATTCCATGGGACCGCATTGACCTCGACAAGGCAGCGCTCATGTTCAACTTTACAATAATCCAAAACCTTTGCAAGACGAAGGAGCACGTCCCGGGTGAGCCGGCCAGGGACTGGAATCACTCTACGTTGCAGGTCAGGAAATGTTTGAAAGTGTGTCTCACATTCATTGCCATGCAATTCAATGTCAACAAGAGCTAGCACAAGATTGGCACCATGCGGAAAATCATTCACGAAGTGAACCAAAAGTGGCGCCGTTCCTGGTGGGATATCCTTTGGTCTCATGTTGAGTTCATAGGAATCAAAAAGTGCCTCTCTGTGAATCTGATAGTGCCGTGCGATTTCACTCATTAGACGTTCGAAATCTGTCCAAAACAGCATTGCATGAATGGGTTGGTCATCAAGATGGTACATCAATGCTGATTGACGGTCGCTGCTCTCAGATGGCGGATGAATCAAATCATCTGGAGAATCAGGATCAACAGGATCCTCGTCTCTTCCAGGGTCTTCATCAGATCTGTCTCCATCAGAGTCATCAGAAGCTTGGTCCATGTCATGATCATCTGCCGGCAGCATTCCGCGGTCAGGCAATGGGTACCAAACTGGCACACCAGGCTCATTGGCAGTCACAATCCCTGAGGCCATGTGGGTAGCCAATTGCATCAAATTGCATTCATCCTGAGGAATGTCATCCCTTTGGGAGATCGACACGGCCGAACTATTCGACAGCGGATCATCATCCAAAAGGGTTGTGTTTTGAAATTGCTTGATAAATGTTTGAACATCTCCATGTTTGCCATGAAAAATGGAGCAAATCCCGGCCTCCGGATCACTGCAAAGCAAGGAGAAAGAGTCATCAAAATGCACCCGGTAGTGTGGGTGTTTGTCACTTTGTGTCCATGGCTTCCGAGAAGTGAAACTTTCAGATATGGTATCGCATTCAAATGAAAGGCGAACAGCCGCAGCCCTTGCATGCCATTCTGTGCGAAAATCCGGTTCAGAAAGAATACGGTGCGTCCACTTCATCTGGAAAACATCAGAACAAATGGGTGCCCGCCCTTGGTACTCGCACTCTAGGGTCGCGAAGTACCGGGCACACCAAAAGGCTGCAAAGCTTTGCCACCTGGAAGCCCCGACACATCTGTTGCGTCGCTGAGCCTTGCTTTCTTCGAGGCATTCTCGACTGCAATCGCATCTTCTGCAGCCTTGTGAAGATCTTGGAGGGACGTTGTCAAATTCTGCAAGCCCTCTTGCAGCTTTTGAGCTCCCTGATCTTCCTGAGTTTCCTCGTCTGACATGACATCGTGGACCTCCGAGACTTGGCGAACATCTCGTGGGGATTGGAACGCTTCCTTGGAGGTCTCGAGATTCTGCTTGGCCAAGGCCAGCGAGTCCTTGGCTGCTTGGATAGTGAGATTGGCCGCTGATTCCTGCTGTTGAAATTCTGTCGTAAAGGCCTGCCATTGCGCGACACTCATGGACAGAAACGTCCTCCACTTGTGATGAAGGTTGGACCTTGCTTCGAAGGCCTCCTGCAGGTCTCTGCGAGCTTTTCCCATGTCCTTTGCAGCAATCTGCAATTCTTTCTCTTCGTTTTTCTCCTCCTTGACGGTCAGAGTCTTGACCAATTCTTGGTTTTCCGGCGATAACTTCTCCTGGTCCTTCTTGAGCGATGTGAGCAGCTGTCTCATTGCAGCGGACTGCTGGGGCGGTGCAGTAGATGGTGCTGCATTGGAGGCTTCCTGCGAGGCTTGGGCTGCTTGGTTTGCTGCTTGTTGCATCTGCAATAGTGCCAACCAAGAAGTCGATCCATTGCCAACCTCTGGAAGCACAGGAGGTTTCGCTTGTTGGGCATCTGCAAGGGCCGATGTGTCTGCTGTCTTCTTGCCCCTGCGATGCCGATTCTGCTTCGGTCTTGGACTGGGGGTGTAGCCACCACGTCCCTTGCCTTTGGGTCGGGGCGACTTCGGTCTCTGATGGTTGTCCCCAGGAGCCTGCCGCCTTCGTGGGCTCTGATGCCACTGAGCGTAGGCTTGGTTGCCATCTTCTGTGTCCTCCCCAACTTCGTACCATTTGCCGCCACAACGGTGGCAGCATAATGCATGCTTCCAATTCATGACCCTGCACCACAGGCAAAGCCAGCCTGAGTTTTTCTGCTGCTGAGTCATGGCTGCGATCTCTCTCTTGACCTTGGCTGTAAAGTGCCTGTCGTTGGAGTGGTGAGCTTGTATCACTTGCAGGATCCACCGAAGCGTAGATACAGAACTCCTTTGCTGTTGGGTGCGATGGAGCCACCAAATGTGTCTTGCCACTGCACGCCAGCGTCTGGTCTTTCTGCGCAAGGTCGAAACAGTGGCCGTCGTTCACAAAGTTCTCACAAAGCAAGGCACAAGCAAAAATCAGTGAGCACAATCGCATGTATTGTCAAATCAAAACTGAAATAAGAAAATCTGTAGTCTGCCGAGGGTAACCCAGGAACAGGTGTATAGGGCCACCGCAGAAACCCAGTGGAGGTTAAACCCAAGGCCAATCTTAACCAAATTGTCCAATTCTAATTGGAAACCCGGGATTTTTGAGGTGCCGGGACACCTAGCACAAAACCTGTCGCAAGCGGCGATTCAGGAGGTCAGGAGCAGAAAAAGTCAATGCCCCCCAAAACCAGGCTGATCACCAAATTGCAAATAGGGCCCTGAGAAAGAGCCCGCAGTGTGGACAGGTAGTCACACTGCTAAGGTCTATTGCCACGACGGGAACGGTCACGTGGGGTCAAAATGCTTGAACCGAGACCTTAAATTATATATATATATACATATACATGTTATATGGATATAGATTTAAAGAGTCTGTGCTTTATACAGTTGCAATATACCAAAGTATTTTTTGTTGTTGTATATGTATCCATGATCTTTAATTCGACCACAGATGAGAAGTACTGGATGGATTTGTCTGACCCCTGGGTTGCAAGAGTTGGTCCTTTCACAATTTTTATCATGGGTTGCATCCCAGCTAGTGGTTCATAACCCCAAGCACAGGCCATATATCACTGATAACTCATTGATCTACCTGCGGTATTCTGCATCTCTCTCTTTATATATATATAGATATATACACACTGTACAGTATAATTATCCAGACAATACTAGATGGTTAATAAGCACTTATTATTAGTGGTTGTTGGTGTGTGATCAGCCATTTGAATAAATCCTTCGTGGGCGAAGGGGTGGGTCGTCTCCAGGATTTTCAGTGGCTTTCTGCAGGGACTTTGCTCAAATTCCTTCGCAGCTCCAAAACGCTCCAGAATTTTCAGCGATTCTGCAGGTGGGGGTCCAGTGGTTCAGTGACGGGTGGAAAAAATCTCCTGTATCCTCTCGGGGTTGGCTGTGCCATGCACTACCTATACATGTCTATGTACATGTATGTAGAAGTATCATGTCATGAGGTATGCACGTGCATGTGTATATATATAATATATATATATTATATATATATTACATTATATATATATATACGCTCACCATCTTGACCAGTTTACCGGTTTCTTGAATCGCTCAACAGGTCGGTCTATGGAGGGCAAGATACCTATATCTATACCTAGGATCTTTTGAGTGGATCTCATCAAGAATGGACGACATAGATATTTGAGACATGCTTACCTTTCCCCCGAATATGTATATACACACATACACACTCAATTTTTGTGATTTATATGATACTAAAGATATTTAGAGATGATATGTGAAATAGACTATGTTACGCAATAAATATGTATATATATATATATATGTGTGTGTGCTGTATGCATTATACATCAGATATCATCAGATTACGTTGTATATATATATATATATATTTAATATATATATATATATACAATGTAATGTATATATATATATATAACATGCATGCACAATATTATAGATAGGATTCACACATATATATATATATATACACATCATACATTGAATTGTACATTACATTATGTATACGCAATATTAGATAACATAGAACCATACGTTTTTTTTCATGGCGTCTGGCAGGTGTTGCCCGCTGCGCGACCATGGCCCAGGACCGTAAGGTGCTGGGGCACATGTTTTGACCAACAACAACTTGAAATTTAAGCATATTTAACCCACAACAATATGGAGGTGTCCCAAAAAATGGAGGTACCCCCCCAAATGGATGGTGTATTTCATGGAAAATCCTATTGAAAATGGATGATGTAATATCAAAAACATCGATATAATCATATTTAAGCCACAAAATGGGGTTTTACAAAAAAAAAGAAGGGGAGGAAGAGGTGATTTTGCAAACAAAATATGGAGATATATCTCGTTGAACCATAACGCGCTGACTCGCCCACGGCTCTGTGGATGATGGCGACTGTAAGGGGATCACTGCAAAATCACAGAATATTTCAGGTTTGTATATCATCAATGGCGGTTATATGTCATATAACCCCATATTAACCAATAATGGGCTTATCTTAACCACCTATTTGTGGTGAAAATGAGCAGACAGATATTTTCAGACAGGTTCTATGACCCATTTAGTTCCATGACTTACCGTTCTGATAAACATGGTGATTGTTCATAGCTATGTTACTCTTTTTCTGGAGTGTATGTATCTCAGGTCTGAAGTCATTCCTGTACATTTGGATTCGACATGTTTAGTATCTAAGTATTCAATGCATGGATGATTATAGAATTTTAATGAATTTTAAGTTGAGAGATTTTCCAAGTTTGCGAAAGACACATTCAACCTCACCTCATGTGCTTTAAACGTTGAGATATTAACAGTGTTCAGGCTCCAATCGAGCAAATCATGAACCATGTAGGGAAGTTCTCTTCAGGGTCGAGGTCCAGTGATGCAGTGTGGATACGGTGGATGAAAGAAATCCTGCATGAGTTGGTAGATGGAACGCATCCAATTATAATCCATGATTTACAGTTTTTCATAGTTATTATATATAATAGTTACCAACTGCAGGATTTAACTTCCATTCACAGTATATCCTCCAGAAAGCCTGTTTTCATGTTAGTAAAGCAATGTCATGTTAACCACCCACACTGTGATGGTAAACGTACCACCCATCAAAATGGTGTTGGGGATGCTGGATCCTCTTTACTACCTCAACTCCGCAGGTGTTCGTGGGTGGCGTGCCTCAAGATCTTAACCAAGACGACTTGTACGTTTCTTGGCGTTGGAGACCGTGGAGACCCCCAAGGTGTGGGGGGATTTAACCATTGAAATTGCTGATTCTGTATATTTTTTACTATATGGGTATGGGTCAGTCAATGGTTTCGACCTTTTGGACCACAGGAATTGAACTATCTTTTTATTTTTAGTATTGACATGTATTCACCATCCAATTATCCAATTTGGATGGGTCACCCAATGACTTGACCCATACCCATATAACATCATACAACATCATATACCCTTTGGTAAACATACAAAAAGCTATTGAAAATGGCCCAGTCGAAATAGTGGATTTACCCATAAGAATAGCATGGTGATGATTTTCCCATCAGTTTTTTGTTAACGTTTACCAGGCCGGGTAATCGATAGAAGCTGGCCTGGGATCAAGTCAATGGAGACCGTCCAACCGTTTGGGCTATGGCTATGACCGGTCCATATATCCGCTCTAAATATATGTTGAGCCGCATCATGTCGGGGGATCATGTTCTCAAAAATGAATCCATATGCATATATATATATACATGTGTACTTATTTTATTTATTTATTCTAATTATTTTATTCTATTTGTTTATATAATTGTCTATTTATGTATCCGTACATATGCAATGGGTGGTTTCACTTATCCCCCTTATCATCACATCCCACATCTCCGTCCTGCCAGTTCTCGGATCTGCTAAGGCCATCTTCAGTGAACACGCCGGAGTCAAGAAAGCATGGCTTCAGAAGCCACGAGCCCAGGCTACATCTGGAATGCGGCTAGTACAGGTGGACGTTGAAGGCAGGACCGATGGTGCTAGAATATGTGTTCCTGCATGGAACGCCGTGGTCACAGCTAAGTCATATGTATGTGGTGCTGATGAAGGAAGCGTCTGACATTTTGGGGGAAAAACTTAAAACCAAATGGGGTTTCTCAAGTCATGGTCGATCCGCAAGTCATGGGTTTTAAGATGTTTTAATGGTCGATGTTTTGATGATTTGGGGTACCCGCTGGTAAATGTTTACATAGCTATGGAAAATCACCATGTTCAATGGGAAAATCCACTATTTCGACTGGGCCATTTTCAATAGTTTTTTTTTTGTTTACCGGAGGGTAGATGAAGATCATTACAAGGCATCCCTCCAAAAAATTCAGTCTCTACTATCCTGAGGGTACCCCCATGACTGTTAGTTTACGGGAGGGTACCCCCATGACTTCGGAAACCTCCAAATGTTGATGGCTTCGAGTTTCCGAGACGGAGGGTTGTGTCCCTCTGAGGTGTCGCACCACAGATGAGAGCGGCGGCAACGTCGGGGGCCTCCGGACGTGCTACCCTCCGGTAAACTAACAGTTTGCTATTGAAAATGGCCATTTAGAGTTGATTTTCCCATATTTTCCCATTGAAAATGGTGATTTTCTATAGCTATGTAAACGTTTACCAGGCCGGGTATACCTAGGGTGCCGAAATTCGTTTGAGTCGGAATTTTTCAGCCACACTGCTGGGTGATCCAATGGGGATGTTTTTGCTGTTGCCATGCTACATCCCAGTTGCAGTGGCCACAATTCAATCCCGTTCGAAACAAGAGAGATTGATTATTATCGTGAAAAGATGACACAACCTTCCAAACTTGAGGTGTCTTGTGTAGACATCTTGTCTTTTCCTTTTTGTGCGATTCGTTCTAGATGTCTCAGAATTGGGAGGGAACATCTATAGGAAACCCCCTTATCTGGTGGGTGAAAACCATCGTTTCCTGTATATGATCCGTTAAATCCACTTAGAACCTAGTTTTACATATATACATTTGTGTATACATAATTCAATATGATGTATCTGTATACTATATACTGTATATATATATATATTCTATAATATTACATTGTTTAATCGCCATATGTGGGTATATTCCCCATTATGTGAAAAAAAAACCAACCATGATATTGTCGCTTGTATATCCACCTTATTCCTCTCAGTATATTTCTAGTATATATTGTACCAGTATTACCAATATATCTCCATAGTATAACCCCATGATATTCTCACTATATCGCTATCATGCTTGGTTCTATACCATCATTTCTGGACAAACCATAATTCCACCTTTCACCCTGACATATGGGGTTGTCTGAGAACAGGGGACCCCAAGTTGTGGCCATTCAATGGGAAAATTATGGAAAATGATCATCAACCAATGGAGTTGGGGTATACCCTTTGATCAAACATTTTTCAAGGGAACAGTTGGGGAACATCCACCATGAACCACCATGATTTCTCGTTTTCCCAGACCTCTTCGGTTGAGGGATTTTCCAGCCACGTTTCACTGGAGGGTTTGCCGCTTAAAAAAGGCAGCACAGCAGAATCATCGTGGCTTTGGATTCGCACCTTGGCGCAGCATGGGTCGGTGGGTGGTCAATGGGTGGCTATGAAATACTATGTTTCATACTATGAATGGTGAAATCCCACAAGCCTAAAGTGAAGATATCCAAGGATTTGGTATGGTGGCTGAGGGTTTTTAGGTGCAGACTTCTGAAACGACCCGGGATCCAGGGCCATTTTTGCTTTTCTTCGAGCCATTTTTTGGTCGTTGAAATCTCCATATCATCCTATGGTGCGCTGACATTTTTGAGTGTATCAACGGTTTATCGTCACGCTTAAGTTGGTAGATGTTGGTAGTTCCTATGATTATTTTGCAGAATCTGTGAATCAAAAGATCCTCCAGGTTAGAGTTAGAGGTTTCCATGTTGGTTTCACCTCCAGCTACTTCAGAAATAGGTGATTTTTCATGATGCGCTGGCCATCGACGAGTTGCTTGGGTGCCTTCCTTAGTGTGAAGCTCTGGGATTGTGACTGATCTGATGAGAAGAAATGCGGTTTGTCTGGAGGTCTTAGGAAAACGCTAGAAACATCTAAAAACATCGTTGGCTGACATGATTTTCCCAAGTAAACTTGTCAGTTTAGTATATTAAATCAATATATATATATAATATAATAAATATACATATATATATATATTATATGACATCTTTAACCGAACCCAAATCGAGATAGGTCAATACCTATATAACCATCCATCTTTTTGTGTTTGGATGTTCAGAGGCCCTGAGTAGATTAGCGATGGGCCCCCCAAAGGTTATACCTATTTCAATTTCTATAATTGTACATTATGCCATAATGTCAACATCCGAAGCTGATTTTCACAAAGTTGCGTACATGAAAGAGGTGAATGAGCGATACCCCTAGCGATATCCATTTGTTCAAAAACTAGCAAGAACTAGCCCCAGACCACAGATAGATCTTTTTTTTGCCTCCCTTCCTCTTCCGGAATAAGAGGCGCTGCTTCCTCTTCTCTTTCTTTTCTCTTTGTTTCCTCTTTCCTTCCGCTTTGGCTCAGTTTTCTTTCCTCTTCCTCTTTTACCCCAATATTCTAATATTACCTATATATATATACATACACACACACACATTTAATCGCTATATATGTATATGTATATGTATATGTATATGTATATCTATATGTATATGTATATTAATATATATATATATATACATAGCACCCCCCGAAAGATAGAAGCAAACATCATTATATCAGAAAGATTTCACTCTTCTATCTTTCTGGGGAGTACCTGCAGCTTGAAGGAGCGCGCCATCGCGATTCATCGTCTTGCGCAATGGCACCAAGCTCGAAGTATCTGGGCGTTCACGTCTTCTGCCCCCGGGAGAAGCTAAAAAGGGGGATGTTAACCAGAGAAAACACGGTTTTAGCTATCAAAAATGGGATTTAATTGTCACAAACATGGATTATACCTTTACGCAATTGGGTTTTAACAATCATAAGGGTATAAATCCACAAATCTTAGGAAAGAAAAAAAAACGTTATTGTCAAACAAAAATGAGAATACATTATAGAGGGGCTTCTCCCAATTTTCTGGATGTTGAGAGTTATTTTGTTCCAAAATATGGGATTTGCGCCTGCAACCCAGCAACCTGAAGTTGAGTCAATTTGGATGTTGGGGATATAATCGAATGTGTGGGAAGAAATCGGATGTAGTCGGAAGAAATGAGACGAAATGGGATGTATTTGGATGTAGTCGGATGAAAGCGAAGAAGGTTTAGCCCTTTAACCTGTCAAGAATTGTGTTTCAAGCATCAAACACAGGGGTATACACCATAATTGTAGTATACGGAAAAGGTATGAAAAGGTGGTAAAACCATAGTCGGGATACTGTGCATGGATCAGTATGATTATTATATCTATATGATGTTCATGATCTTCCATTGATAGAAAATTGTATTTTTCATGATGATAAAAATGGATTTCAAAATACATCTTCTATTATCATCATGGTATATTATATTATATCTATATTATGATAATATCATATATGGTATTTATCTTTTTTATACCATCATCATACATTATATCATATTATGATACACCATTCATCATATCATATTATATTTATGGTATCTTATGGTGTATTATGATGATAATACCATGCAAAAAAATCGATTCTAAAGCGTTTTCCCATACGGCTGAGGTCAAGCGGGCCCTCAGCAGCAACAAGATGAGCTCGCCGCAGGCCACGGATGTTTTCCAGCTGGCTTCACGCCATGGATGTCATGGGAGATCCCCTTTTTCGCTGGTTGGTTTACCCGGCCTGGTAACACATAGAAAAAGCCACATTGAAAGTGGCCATTGATAGTAATAGTTGATTTACCCATAAAAATAGCATAGCATAGCATGGTGAGTTTCCATAGTTATGGGACAGCTTACCAGAGGGTATCACGGAAAATCCTATGAAATTCCTATGAAAATGGACTGGGGGTAGCTCCAAGGATTGGAGACCTCTGGAGAATCCACCAAGTCTTGGATGCGTCATGGGAAAAAAACCCAGTGGTCACTATGGTTGTTTCATTACTCAGTCATGGTCATCCATGACGACTGGATGATGACTGGGGTAACCCTATCTTGAGATGCTAGGCCCGGCTTACATCCCTAGACCATCAACCTCAACTTTTGACGGTTCATAATGAATAAAAAACACGTGTGTTTTAATTGATTTGGGTATGGTCCACTGGGGTTGTTACACCAACCCAAATCGCCGAGGGTGTCCCAGGATTTTCGTCAACTGTGGCATGGATTTGGGATCCCTTGGGATTTGGGATTGCTACGAATGATCACAAGAGCATACAATCCCATCCCTATATGGGAGTCGATCTAAAGGTCCATATGTAATGAGTTTTAATTGCCATGGCTGCCGATGTTACAGCATGACAATATGTTTTAATTATATTAGACATATTAGATACCCCAAATGAAAAGGTCCAGGACTAAACCAGGTTTCCAGAGGCTGGTTGAATGTTGGGAAGTGATAATAACATATAATAACAATGGTAAGGAATTTTCACCAAAACAGAAGGACAGAACTGTATGACACGACTACATCAATAATGGACCATGCAGCCAGGTACTTTGGTGGGGGTATGATGAGGTTACCTGGGGATAGAACAGCAATTCCACTGTAGAAATGGCTTGGAGACCCAGTCACAATGGAAGATCAACAGATCAACCAATGAAATCATGATGCAAAAACCCATGACTTTCCAACAATAGGAACATACTAGGATATCATGGGGATATTTCATGGTATATATATATTATATATATGTATATATATATATATGTATATATTATATATCACCAACTTGATATGGTATGAATGTCTCTGAAAACGGGGGATTGACCCGGCAAAAAAAAACCCAAACGGCTGGTCAGTTTAACAGTGAAGATTATCTTAAACGATCAGCTTGGGGGGCACCATGTTTCCAGATAAAACCAAAATCAGCTGAAGCTCATGGCGGCAGCATGCGGCAGCAGTCAATTCAGATGGTCGACCATTCATTCTGCTACCAACTGTTTCGCCTTTTGCTGCTGCCAAAAAGAAACGTGTTGAGCGTCAATCGTTCTGCAGCAAGTACTTTTCTTCTTTTTCCGTATCCTACCTCCTTTACAATGGATATGATCACTGGATCTTCAGTTCTGACAACAGGCTTCTGTCTGAGTAGCTGAAGCAACTGAAGCACCGTTTGCATCAGCAAAGCGTCAGGTTGACGGTACAGATCCTGTTTCTTGGCCTCACAGTTTCGCCGGGAGGAGGAAGGTGAGGAAGGTCAACGAAGCCAGAAATTGAGAGAAACAAAAAGGCTAATTAATGCTAATGATATATATATATATATACACGTATATATACATATTCAAGAAGATTTAAGATGATCTAACCAATTTCTAACCATATTTCATGATGTTTCAGCGGTTTTCTTTTTGGCATGCTTGAAGCACCAAGCAGACAACGTAACCGATGCCCACAGCTAGGTCAGCCGCACGCGCGCACAACCCCCACTGCACATGTCTGGACCGTGACTCGGCCAGGGCTTAGCTGAGAGATTTCGACTGGGCATCGCGGCGTGGGGATGTTCAATGGCCATAAATTGTGTTTTTTTTTGAGAAGCCAGATCAACTAACTTGATATAACTTGATATGATATTTAGGATAGGTTTAGGACATTTACCAGCAACATTATGGCAACATAGGTTCTGATTTTCAAGCAAACCCATGTTATGGGTTTGTCTGAAAATATATCACGATGTCAAAAGAGCTTTGGATATGAAGAACAGATAGCATCATTATCATATCATAAAATGATAGACCGATTACATTATTTAATTTGTGGATATCCGTGTTCTGGTTACTCATCATCTCAATTCCTACCCAACTGTAGAATTCAACTAGCAGGCAATGCTTAGGTTTAGGTTTATCTTGTATGTTTACATTCAACGAATTAGTAGAATTGACAATAAGATATAAGGACGTTACAATATAAGAGGATATAGACAATTAGTTCTATTATAAGACAGTTGTTTGTAGAATTCGTTACTGACAACTGCCTTTGACAAAAACCTATTATTTCCAGCATCAGTTTACGGGTTGATGGAATTTAGTAGCAGAAATCTCTTGATCGGGAGGAACATAGGTGAGTACCAGCTATTTTGGCGTTCATAAAGGTACATGTAAACAGGGTCATAAATGTGTATGGGGCAATACAAATGGCTCCGAACTCCAAAATATCCCATGTTCTGCAGTTGTTATTCACATCCTCGGGTAAAGATTATATGATGATGTTGTTTCAATGTTCACCTCAAGCCTCTGGGTTTTTGACCAAGAAAATCATTGGTGATCCTTCTGTGTTTGCCAACTTGCTAGAATTCCAGATGTTTTGTAGGCATGGAAAGGGCCCCCCTTGGGTAAAATTGCAATCTCATGGGATAGTTTGAGCAATCGTTGGGGGTGGGTCCCAAGGCGATAAACATAAATTGAACTTATGACTTGTGCAATCCTATATGCATAGCAGAATGGCATTTCCCAGTGTGTTGGATAAGTCCCAATTTAATGTCGCCTCTATCTTCACCTATGCTGATTACATCGCTATTTGGTATGAAGGTGATTTTATAAATCCCCTCAATCACCCTTGCAACTGGTTGTGCATACTAAACTGGGATGAGTTTAATCTCCACATTTCAAGCCATATGGGTAGCCATATGTGTCTACATATGGTTATATATATTTTTATATTTATATTTTTACACAGCATTTTTATATTTATATATAGATTCGATAGAGAAAGAGAGAGAGATAGAAACCTGCCCGATTTTCTCAGGCCCCGAGCGTTACCGCCTGGTGGGTTTAGGGTGACGTCCGGCGGACGTCCGGGTGTGCAGGCGGGCGGGTACCGTGGTGTCGTGGTACCGGGGGGTGTTACGAAGAAATGGATTGTCATGGATTACCCTCTGGTAAACTAACATAACTATGAAAATCACCATTTTTAATGGGAAAATCCACTATATATAACTGGCCATTTTCAATAGCTATGTTAAATTACCAGACGGTAATACGGTTAACATCTTTTTTCGCGGTATTTTGAAGATTTTGTTAGATGAATAGCTAACATTTTAAGATGGTTCCCAATTTTTAATGAAATGCCCCTTGTATTTGATTACTTGGTTTATGCCCTTGAGAAAGTCTACCACATTTGCCGTGGAGTACTCCCTGCTAAATGGCACAGTTTGAAGCTGTTTCTCTAGCGTTGTATTTTTCCGCAACGTTTATTCATATCAATATCATCTGTATATGTAATCGGATGTGTGTATATCTCTACATATGTATATATATATATGTATATATATATATATGTATACTATATAATTATATATATTACGTATATATATATATATTATACATATATTATATACAGTATGTGTATGATTGTGTATACAATTGTATATACACATCAATGTGTGTTTTTTATCCGCGTTAAAATTTCAGCTACAGATTGAAGGGCCCTGGGCTAACAACCTAATGCATTTTATCAGTGAAACTGGGTTTTAAAAATGCACCCAGGGCCACCATTTTGTAGCAAAGTAGTTTTTTTAAGGCTGTGTGTGGGCTTATATGGTGAGGCCGTGAATCCATTTTGTAGCTGCTCTTGTTTGGATAACACATGATAACATAAAAAACCCAAACCATTTTGTAGCAACTTGCTGTTTGACCCGGAAAACATTTTGTAGTTTTTTGGTTGGCAATCAAGAAGAACATGTGGGAGCGGCCCTCATGTGGCTACAAAATGAAATCCCTCCACTGGATCTGTAGAAGGATGTAATAGCTACAAAATGACCTGCAACAAAGCAAGAAGTAACATGTTGGATGTTGAAGTTAGAAATAAAGCCCTTGGGCATGACATTTTGTAGCAAACCTATGTTGATGCCCCTGGACCCTGGGTTTTCATTTTGTAGTTGGGTGTTTTTGATGGTGGTTGTTCATTTTGTAGCAAACCCAGGGTAAGGCCCGAGGTTTGTACTAATAAAATGAGGGGGCACGGGGGCTCCCCGGATATTTCAACCCGGATTGTTTTTTAACTTCAGATACTCAACAATAAAAAAAAAAAACGGTGCACCTAGCGGCTACGTGGTCTACTCGACCAATTCGTTGTCTCAGTAGTGAACCCTTGGATCCCATGGTTCATCATAGGTTTCCCATCGGACAACTGTCATGGGACTGGGGGTATCTCCAGCTTGCGATATCTGGACCCAAAGATATCATATCGACTATGAAGTTGGTCGAAAAAGTCCCACATCCTCGTTGTTTTTTGTATACCCCCCCTATGGTCAAACGGGCAAAGTGGCACGAATCTTCATTGATTTTCCATCCAGGTCCACGATGAAAAACCCCTTTGTTCGAGCCGATTTGTCGAGTTGGTTGACTCGTGAGGCAGATTGGGCGGCCAGTCGATTCGCTCAAGGGGACTTGCTGAGGTCCCTGCGGCGAAGTTCGTTCAAACGGGGGGACCGTTTGGTCATAGGTAAATCATCATCTTTATCATCTATTAATGGGCCATTTTCCATAGCTATGTTAAATAACTGGATACATGATATTACATGTCATTGAGCTGAATATGCATGTTACTATTATATAATAGCATATATTATATGATGTCATTATGTATGATATTATTTTTGGGTTTGTCTAGCATACTGAAATATCAGATGCATTCAGTTTTTTAAATCATGATTTCTCCTGCAGCCAATTGCTTTTTGGGGGTAACCAAATTTTCTGACAAGCCTGTAGGTAGGATTATGGTTTGTCCAAAGATGGAGGATACCCCACAATGGATTTTGTGAAAGTGCAATGATGACAAGCCATTGAGGAGTACCATATTTTCGGATCATATCCCATATACAACGTGAGACATACACAGACTAAATTTAATTTGTGGGATGATATATTATGACTTGTGGAGGTTTACAACAAGGCATAGGGGGACCCTCAATTAGCATTCAGAGTATATATTGATATAATATTATGTGATTATGTGTATATATATATATGGTTATATGTCATTTTTGATCAGTGGAACCAATGGTGATAAGGGGTGCCCCTATTGCAGCTCCCTATATTTGTTTATATATATATATATCTTTATCACCATTTTAAGCGGGAAAAGATAGGCAAGGCATCGAAATGAAAAGACATACTTCAGCAATATGCCCTGGTTTTCACACCAAGATAGCTGGTGTATGGTGCTAGGCGTTTCTCCCTGCATTCTGATGGTTTCAAGGGTATTGAGCTATCCCAATATTCCATGAGAGCTAACATAAACTCCAAAAATGGGTGCAGGAGTTCAGCAGATCAAATTTAGTATTGGTCTTTGCCCAGTTGAATCAACAATCAAGAGGTTGTATCCGTTGGTGAGATTTAAAAAGGAATAAGTGAGGATTGTTCATATGATTTCAAGAACCAGAGACACGAGCAGACATGATGTTTCTTTTATTGGCAGTTGTACATTGCACCCCGTTCTGGATTTATCATTCTCACATGTCAGCTGCTCAAGGCCCTATCTGTGCAAGTCATTTGAGGTACATCATTTGCGGAAACCAATTTCAAATTCAGCATGTTCAAGAGACAAAAAATCTGGCTGACACATGCTGACACTACAGATTCCACCCAACAGCTGTCCTCATTTGAGTCGTTGCCAAAAGACACATTGCTCGGTCATGAAAGGCAATGGTCATCCCCCCAGGTTCCGGAGTTGATATACCATGATATGGTCATCCCCCCATGATTATCATGATTTTTGGAATGATTTTTGGAATCCCGAAAAAGACTTCCTGATAGGATGACCAGGGACCGTATAAATCCCGTGTACTACATGTACCTCGACCATGGCAAATATCATGTTGATAACACATTATCATACAGGATAGGATATATTAATATTACGGCAAGACCCTGAGGTTTGCCCGGACTCGCAACGAGTGTCCGGGCAAACCAAAATGACGATGATGATGATGATTATTATTATTATGATTATGATGATGAATATGATTATGATGATGATTTTGATATCGTTTTGAAACCCTATAAGAAACCCTAATGACTGTATGGTTATTTCATGGGGCCGGGGGATTTTGATATCTTTTTTTACACCCTATAAGAAACCTTAACGACTATATGGTTAATTCTATATGATTTGTAGACGCGACATGTTCTGGTTATATGATATGTAGAATCAACATGTTCTGGTAAACACCCCAGCAACATAATTGAACATAAAATCCTTCCCGTTGTTTGACGTCGTACAGTATCCCCTGGTATTTAGGCTATTTTGGTTTTGGGCAAACCTTGGGGTCTGTGTGTAATATTATTCTGGTTGGTGGTTTGGAACATGGCTTTTATTTTTCCATATATTGGAAATTTCATCATCCCAACTGACGAACTCCATCATTTTTCAGAGGGGTTGGTATACCACCAACCAGCCATAATTAACCAATGATTAACCATCATTAACCACTATTAACCACTATGAACCATTATTAACCATTATTAACCACCAACCACCAACCAGTATTTAATATTTGTCCCATTGCATCCCCAGGATTCTCCCCAAATATCTCGATGATGGCCTCAGGCAATTGTCTTTGATGGGCAATGGCTATTTGCCTCAGGTCGGGAAGATGTAGGAGATGCCACAGGGCAGGGGACAGTAGCCAAGCTATTTCCGAAGATCGGTGGATCGCATGTTACGTGTCGTCGTGGATGGCTGATTTCTTGGGGAATCGGGTCGGAAAATTCCGCAATTTGCAAGGTATCCAGTCTCAGAAGTACCCTCCAGTAAATTAACATAGACCCTGCCAGATAGGGGTTGGAAGATTAGTTTCCATTAAAGATGGGCGATTCTCAGGGTCTATGTTCATTTACCAGAGGGTAAGATTAGCCATGTTTCTGGATGTTTCTTTCTCGAAAGCCCAACGTGACTGCACCTAAGGGTGGCAACAAAGAAACCGTTTCCTCCAAAACCGGCGAAGTTCAACCGCTTTGGATTGAGAAATCATCGCACCGTGGATTAGGCCAACCTCGCAACGAATATCTGGTTGGTGGTTTGGAACACGGCTTTTATTTTTCCATATATTGGGAATAATCATCTCAACTGACTAATATTTTTCAGAGGGGTTGAAACCACCAACCAGATATTAATGACCTGCAATACAATTTTCACAACAGATGTCTTTCTGTGGATACCATGCCAACAATATTCATGCTGACAGAGGCAACGGTTCCATCTGTAGTACAGCCCAAAAAGATAGAAATGTCATGAACTATAGAATTCTGCATGATCCTAGGACAATAGTGTTAATTACATGTTTTTTCTACCTTGGTGGCAAGTATATTCCGGAAAGAGATTGGCTCGGGTCAGTCGCACAGCAGTGACCAGTTTGCTGCATCACTGGGGATCAACATCCCATCACCCTGCAGTTTTGATGCAGAACCAGTGGCTATAAAATCGGGATATATCAGCTGCTGTGAGAATAAGATATATGTAATTATATATATATATATGTTTGGGGCTGCCCGCGCCCACTAACAGTTCAAAACTGCCCCCCTTTCATAAACCCTAACAGAATTACTTTTCCATCGGCATTGTGGTGGGCAGCATCCTAAACCCTAACCAGTGTTGCTGTGCCATCAGCGCTGCAATGGGCAGCATCCGAAACCCTAAACAGTATTGCTTTGCCATCATCGCTGCAATGGGCAGCATCCAAAACCCTAAACAATATTGCTTTGCAATCAGCAGCATCACTACCCACAAGGTGCTGACAAGCTGGATGCATGAGGCATCCCATTGGAAATGCCAATGTCGAATTTTGACAGCAAGGACTTCTGGGCATGGCAAGAAAATGTGCCGAACGTGGAGCCAACTTGCAGGGAATATGCCTGGTCATCTAGCCTTAATAAGGGGAAATGAAAGTCATATTGGGGACTACAACCTGATTTTTTTTGTGCTTTTTTTTGTGGTATGAATTGTGGTCACTGTTAGTGTCACGAGGCAGAGCCAAATATATATGATATAGATATGATCCCAATTGTATAATATTGTATAATATTGTGTAATTATATATATAATATGTATACATATTGTTTAAATGATATAACATGATATAACATAAGATACAGATATGTATATGACTAGTCATATACACATTTGAAAGGTTAAAAAAAATAATTTTTCTCGGCTCCAGGCTGCCAGCGCTCCGGGCCTTGCACCTCCCTTGCCGCCATATGCCGTCCGGATGCCGTGACAAAGAGTGGAATGTCATGGGAATATCAGGATTTAAACAATGGGATAGAATGGGTCTACTTGGTGGCTCATCCCACTTAAGTGGGTTAGTTCACCCCAGTGATTTCAGTGGATTAACCCTACTTATCCCATGTAAATCACTGGGGTTATAACCCACTTACGAGCCGTGGGATGAGCCACCAAGTAGACCCTTTGGGAATGAAACATGGCCATGGACAATTCCTCAGTGATATTGTAGATGATTTTCCCAGCTATAAACCTCCATTTAGTTCGTTTTTTTTTGTCCAGCCAGCCATGTTTGATTACCGTCGGGTACGAAAAACATGCGTCAAATAATTTGTCTATATTTGTTTTGGGTGTTATATACTAAATACATACTATATACTAGGGATTCCACTAGGGATATAATTACATTCAATAGTGGGGATGCCTTCAATCATTAGATGGGAATTATCAATAATGGATATATTCAATGAGTACAGTGGCTATACTCAATCTATAATTAGGGATATGACCAACAATAAGTTGGGTCATGTCCATATTTATCCCATCAAATCACTGTTGAAACATGGATTCAGCTCTGGCTAGTATGGTTTGGGTTAGTGTTCCAGCTCCTCTAGAATGGATCGGATAGTTGGCCCCCGATCCTGTTCGACAGTTTTCCTGCGGTAGATGCATTCAGATATGGATGTGGATATATTTATACACACGTATTTTATGTATTATATATATATAATTATATAATACAAAATACACAGTGTTCGAATTTCTACACACCTTCCAAAACCATCTATAACCATAGTATTACATTAATTACTATTACGTTAATTATGTTGTTATAACTTATTATGTAACCATCTATAACCCACTATTGAATATTTATATATTACATCACTGTAATACACGATCCATTGGTTACATGAATGGCCGTGTCTGAGGCGGCCGTTGCGCCGCCCATGTTGCTTGGCCAACTGCTTGGGGTGAAGCCTTGGGGGAAGAATTTTTTTACCGGAAAATGGTGGTTTTTCCGTAGGAAAACCATGGGAAAATGGTGATTTAACCACTAGGAAAATGGTGATTTTCTATGGTGATTTTTTAATGGTTTAACACTGGGTTAACAATGGCGAATCATGGGATGATCATGGGATATAGCCTTTGGTAAACATACAAAAAGCTATTGAAAATTACCATAGAAATAGTGGATTTACCCATTGATAGCATGGTGGATCTTTCCATAGTTATGTCAGTTTACCAGAGGGTACCATCTGGTAATCTAAGATGTGGAAAAGCCAGATAGATCCTGTTCCAAACACAAAAGCATGGGCTTTCCACATCGATTTGAGTTTACCCCAGGATCATATGTTTGGTTTTTCTATTACATGGGAACATAGTATCTATGTTCCCAACTAATTTTTGGAGGATGTCATATATTGGCCATGATTCGTTGAGATCTTGAAGGTTGTTGAGATGTCAGCCGCTTTAGGGTAGAAGATGATTAAGGTTGGCCAGCGGCATCTATGTAACATGCAGGGGCCGGAAAGCCAGCTTACATCTATGTAGAAATTAACGCGTTTTGAAGTCTTTCGACATCGTTTCTCAGCGACACTTCTCCATCAGGAGTCATCCCTGATGAAGGATCCCGACCTTACTGCACTGGGAGATGATTTCGTTTAAATCGTACCAGATTTTTTTCAGGGAACATGTACAGCAAAACCCTTTATAATCCTTTATATTGGCTGGGACAAACCCATGTACGCTCTGGTAAACATACAAAAAGCTATTGAAAATTACCATAGAAATAGTGGATTTACCCATTGATAGCATGGTGGATCTTTCCATAGTTATGTCAGTTTACCAGAGGGTACCATCTGGTAATCTAAGATGTGGAAAAGCCAGATAGATCCTGTTCCAAACACAAAAGCATGGGCTTTCCACATCGATTTGAGTTTACCCCAGGATCATATGTTTGGTTTTTCTATTACATGGGAACATAGTATCTATGTTCCCAACTAATTTTTGGAGGATGTCATATATTGGCCATGATTCGTTGAGATCTTGAAGGTTGTTGAGATGTCAGCCGCTTTAGGGTAGAAGATGATTAAGGTTGGCCAGCGGCATCTATGTAACATGCAGGGGCCGGAAAGCCAGCTTACATCTATGTAGAAATTAACGCGTTTTGAAGTCTTTCGACATCGTTTCTCAGCGACACTTCTCCATCAGGAGTCATCCCTGATGAAGGATCCCGACCTTACTGCACTGGGAGATGATTTCGTTTAAATCGTACCAGATTTTTTTCAGGGAACATGTACAGCAAAACCATTTATAATCCTTTATATTGGCTGGGACAAACCCATGTACGCTCTGGTAAACATACAAAAAGCTATTGAAAATTACCATAGAAATAGTGGATTTACCCATTGATAGCATGGTGGATCTTTCCATAGTTATGTCAGTTTACCAGAGGGTACCATCTGGTAATCTAAGATGTGGAAAAGCCAGATAGATCCTGTTCCAAACACAAAAGCATGGGCTTTCCACATCGATTTGAGTTTACCCCAGGATCATATGTTTGGTTTTTCTATTACATGGGAACATAGTATCTATGTTCCCAACTAATTTTTGGAGGATGTCATATATTGGCCATGATTCGTTGAAATCTTGTGATTTTTCCATATGAACCATAAACATCCATGTTGTATCATTTTGTTTCCTATGTATCATATGTATCATATGGCTGGGACAAACCCATGTATCAGATGTATCCTGAGTTTCCACATGTTTCTTCAACTCCGTCGTGACCTCTGAGGATGCGTGCACCTGGGGCTAGCCCGGGTCCGGCAGCCGCCGGACTGGCGGCGGAGGGGCGAAATGTACCTTTGCGGAATGCCATCATGCAGTGCTGCTGGCATGGTTTACTTATCTAGTAAACTAAGAATTTGCTATTGGAAATGGCAAGTGTTAAGTGTTATCCATATTTTGGGTCTGTTGGTTTACCATGGTTTACCTACTAATCAAATTGGTTTAACCATGGTTTACCTATAAAATGGTGATTTGTTCGTTTACCAGAGGGTAGATCCGGATCAGATTTTGAATAGATGCTGATGGGGAAATTCTTGATGTATTTTGCGGATCGTTTTTTTTTTGGGTCAACATTCCAAACATGGTTTGGGATTTGTTGATGTAAATTACCACCTGATGGAACTGTAGGAAATGCATAGCTTGCGCCTTTCCTGTGGTTTAAAGTACACACTTGCTCAGACACAAAAAAAACTTCAGGTGGGCCCGGGCAAAGTTGAGCCGGTCAGTTTTGCTTTCCATGATAAGCCCCATTTTTTGTGTTGCTACTCAATTACTTGGTGTACCTGTTTTTGAATACATCCAGTTGATTGAATTCTATTGGACTACAGTGACTATGTGTTCCTGTTTTTTGTTGGTTAAATGTATATATATATATAATTTATAATATAATATAATATAATATACTATAATATAATATGATATAATATATTATAGTATAATATAATATACTATACTATAATATAATATACTATACTATAATATAATATAATATAATATTATATTATATTATATTATATTATATATATTACTGTATATATATAATATCCATATCCCGTGTGTTCCCATGAAATGTTGATTCTTTGGGAGGACACTTCTGATCCAAGCGTGGTGTGGCTTGACGCCAGGTTTTACCATGAGCACCGCCCCGAGAAGCTTACGGAGCGAGACTTCATTGACTTCATTTGCAGTGTCAGTGGGCCCTAGGGGCCCTAGACGTTGCTGTGGGTCTCGCCCCCATTTTAGATGGTTAAACTATGTTAAACTCGGTTCCTCATGTTTGATGAATTCATCTCCCGGATGGCCATTTTTGCTAGAGCCCTATGATGTTTTGATGGTCAAATCCAGACATTTTGATGGTGCGGACCAAAAGCGCTGGGATTTTTGTGTAGGAAAACGATGTAGACATGATGATTTACTAGGGCGAACTATGATTATCTGTAATGTTTAGAGGGGAACATGAGGGAAAATGATGATCAATCATTTCTGGTTGGTGGTTTGGAAAATTTGTTATTTTTCCATATATTGGGAATAGTAACCCCAACTGACTTTCATATTTTTCAGAGGGGTGGGTCAACCACCAACCAGATCAATCATTTGATTGTTTTGGGGTACCACCATTTTCCAACACAGATGGATGATTTACGTGTCACAAGCCCTTGAGAAATGGTGATAATTGGAATATTCACCAAGAGATGTGGGTACTTGGCTGGTTGTTATTGGACACGGTAATTTCTCCAGCAAGCATGGGTATAGAAGATTATAGAAGTGATAGTTTCATAGCAGTGGGGTTCTACTAAATGGTTTAGTTCAGTATGTTTGCTTATAAACCCAGAATTTAGGATCCCTTATCAACCAGGGTTCGTAGAAAGGGATGAAGCATGGTCAAGCACTGCTCAGTCGTGATGGGGTAGCAGGTCCAAGGCAACGAAGCTGGCAGGGAATTGATCCTGATCATCTATGATTGCCCATGTATCCAAACTGTGTGTGTATGGATAATACCAGCATTCCACCAGCATTCCACGTGGGATACAGTCTTGCGAATGATGTTTAAAGGCTCTCTTTTTGAATTTTGGTCAGCCAAGATGTTGCGAAACTACCAAGTTAAACCATATATCATATATATATATACATTTGGGGTTGAAGATGGATTACACTGAATTTCAAGAAACCAAGTGTAATGAAGTTGTGGAAGTAATCTCAGCCATATCTATAACCCAACTATATCTGGATTCCACGCAAGCCAAAAAACAGATCGTTATCTCTATCCAGACCTGCCACTGCCACGCCCGGGACCGGCATGCACTTGACAGAAACACATTTTGTAAGATGTTCGGTTATTTTTTGCACAACAAAGCCGTATCTTTTTTGGTCGCTTAGCCTTTAACCAAAAGTTTGCACTCTTGTTATATATACAGTATATATATATATATATGTATGCATATATATATATAAGTGGAGCTATGAATCATCTGTGCATCTATTCACAGATTCTATATTCCATCTCCATCCATCTCCCAATTTCATGTTGCTTCCCTCCAGCTATAGATCCTGGCGGAAACATACGAGTTTTCCATCCTGTAAGGTCTATGAAGGACGTGAAGCAGAATTGGACGAGGCGGTAGCAAACCTGGTCGGGGAACTTTCCTACTCGGACCTGGTCCATTTTTGTTATCATCTATAGTAACACCAAAAAAGATAGAAAAGTCAAAGTAGAATCCTACCAAAATAGTTATACGTATTTATAAGTTACTTTTCTTTTTAGGGGCACAAAAATATGGAAGATTGACACTAGCTTTCCTTTCACCCTCAATCAAAAAACATATCTGAATCTGTAATTTTTGTCCGGTAGATTTCGAAAAATCGACGGCGGATTTGGGGCCTGTTTGATCACATTCCTCATTGATATCCAGGGGACCCAGCTTTTGGGATGAATCATTACTAAGACATCGATACCCTCTGGTAAACTAACAGTTTGCTATTGAACATGGCCATTGAAATAGTGGATTTACCCAATAATGGTGATTTTCCATAGCTATGTAAACGTTTACCAGAGGGTATACGTGAAGATGTCCATAGATATTGTTGGTAGAGTGTTTTCTGGATTCGCAGACAGCCAAGAGATTAATCGTGAGGTGTTGCAACAGCATACGGCCTGTGGGCATATCCCAACCATGCACTTGATTGACCACGATCACGTTTCACAGCATTTCCCATCGTTCGGCGGAGTTTCACATGTTTCACGTTCATCAGATACTTCCCATCCCAACATCCCCAAATTTATGCCGCAAGGGCTGCCCGGCAGCGCCTAACGGCAGCGCCTTACCACCAGGCCTTGCGCAACAAATATGGAACCGGCCTGCAACTGCCGAGCTCGTTGGGTTCCGAGAATCCAGAGGGGTTCCATAGGAAAACCATAGGAAAACCATAGGAAAAGCATATGTCAATGGATTGGTGTAAGGGAACATGTTTAACCGGAAAGCCCCCGATTTAATGGGAATATCTATGGTTTCCGGTTTCGATTTTCCCAACAAAACCAATCCATTGATGATGATGTTTACATATATTTACTATGATCATGATATAGAAATATATAAAAATATGTTTGTGGAGTGGGGCAAACCCAACAATGGATTCCCTTGATGTTTTAGATCATGGATGAGTTCCGAGATGTTGCGAGTCGGCAAACCAATTCATTGGTTGAACGGCAGAATTGGAGCTTTCGAGCCCGATCATGGTGGTCTATTGGACATCATTGGACTATGTACTCAAGATGTACCCTCTGGTAAACATACAAAAAGCTATTGAAAATGGCCATAGACATAGTGGATTTTCCCGTTGAAAATGGTGATTTTCCATTGCTATGTTAGTTCACCAGAGGGTACTCAAGATGTAGTCCTGAAAGTCAATTGGCTGATTCTACCTTCTACCTTCAGTAGTAGCGAGGGTCCACAATGCTAGATGGTAGACTCAGTCTCATAGAATTTCAGCCTATGTGAACAATCCAGTGGCAACATCCGAAAACAATTTGATGTACTGGGGACAACAAGCTACAGATATGGGAAATACCATGGACATATTATGTACAATATGTATATATATATACACAGTGTAAATATACATATATATATATAAATATATTATAGCCATTTAGGGATATCAGTCCAAGACTTGCATGAGGCTAATCTGCTATCTCAGCCTCTATCTTAGAAAGTGATAAAACCATTTCATTGTTTGAATCTCTACCCTCAGTAAACAAACATCGTTGCCTGCAAAATCCCCCAAAAGACCTAATCCATGCAAATGGATGAAACCTCAGGTTTTGACATGTTTTGACTAGGTCAATAATGCGCTCAAATGGATTCGTTTGAAACTCGGGTACCCCAAACAACCATGGTCTACCATGGTCTACCATGGTCTACCATCGTTTTCTTGATGTTTTGCCGCCACCAAAGGGTGAAGCAATCGTAGGATCTGCCCGAACCGGTGGCGCTCAGGATGACTTCCGTGCCTCAATCGACCACTTCCGACCTGGGACTCAATCCAGGCTCAGGGAAATACCTATGGGATATCTATGGGATATCTATGGATATGAGAAGTGAGGGATTCTATGGACATGAATTTTATGTGTGCCGTGGTCAATTTGGTCAAAACTTGGGCAACTTGCCAACCTTGGGGGATGGTCTTTAACCCACTAGGGATTGAAAAATTTCGGGGTCCCCAAAAAGACAGAACCGTATTTCCAGGATGGTATCGATGACGTTTTTTCATCATTTTAACCATCGTTTTCCCTATCATCGGTTGCCATGTTTTCGGGGTTGCGAGGGGCACCTCCAGGATTCCCCTTAGATGACGTTCCCCCGTAAACCCAGAAAGCCCTGGTTTGGTGTACTGGAACTCTTCATCAGGGGAAAACACCTATTTTTTTTCGGGCTTGCTGTGTAGTAATGGCTGGTTGGTGGTTTGGAACATGGCTTTTAATTATTTTTCCCATCATATTGGGAATGTCATCATCTCAACTGACGAAGTGCATCATTTTTCAGAGGGGTTAGCAACACCAACCAGCCATAATTAACCAATGATTAACCACTATTAAACCAATATCAACCACCAACCAGATGGGATCAGTGAAGCCAGTCTGACCAGTGGTCGAATCATAGAGGTGGTTTTTCAAAATCTCGTGAAGAATCCCTACGGCAAAAAACTGCGTATATTTGGTGATGCTTACCCTCTGGTAATTTGTTACATAGCTATTGAACATGACCATAGAAATAGTGGATTTACCCATTGAAAATGGTGATTTTCCATAATTATGTAAACGTTTACCAGAGGGTACGTTTCAATCTTGTTGATGGTTAAATTAATTGATGTTACATCCACAATTTTGCTGATTTCTAACTTGTTGATTGTTTACGTAAGTTTACAAAACGGAACTCGTAATTTTTGAGAAACCGCCAGCAGCTGACTAATGGTGATGCTATCGCGGGATCAGATTTGGTGTGTTGGCGGGGTTCATGGCACGGATTATATGGATTGACTTTCGAGTTTGAAGATCTTTGAATTCACAGAATTGAATGACAGGACAATTTACAGGAACCCCCTTTTTTTTTGATGGTAAGCAACCATAGGCTAATTATAGTTTCCTGTAGATTTCCCATCAAACCAATCCTTTGATGAATATGTTTGAGTAGCGATTTTATGGTGAAGGATCATATTGTGCCTGCTCTGTGGCATTTGCACATTAACCTAACTCTCGCATGGAGTTCGAGCCGAAGATTCTCGAAGTATTTGCTAGTGAAACCATGCAATGTTTGGTCATATGGAGGTTTCCTAGAATGGTGGATCCCCAAGTCACACATGGGTTTCAATACTAAAATTGTCATCCATGAGTTGGATGATTTGGGGATACCCCCATGGTATCCAGATAGACTGTTGGTCTCATGATTCTGCTCTGGTCCGTGATTAGAGTGATCCATATTTGCTGTAGTTCGATGATTTTCCCATAAATGCCTTGAATTGTAGGTGATGTTACTATTATATAAAAACCTTCATTTATGGTGGATTTCCCAATATTTACCAATTTGTTCCATTCATTTCCTATGATTTTCCCATTGATGAATTTTATGCCCAGCAGCCATGGAGTTGATGACACTGCTCGAGCAGGTTTTTTGTTTAAGGCTGATGACAGCAGGGTTTGATGTTTGTAAGTCCGCATTCATGGTCAATGGTGATATCCACCATAATTATATATATATATACATAAATTATATATACATATATATAAATTATATATATATATACATATAAATTATATATATATAAATTATATATATATAAATTATATATATATATATATTGTATAATATTCTGAAATATTGTGAATAGGTTATAACTGTGGTTGCTAACCAGTTGCAATTCGTGGGAAGATCCTCCCTGCATAGATATCTCAAGTGCACCTTTCCTGCGCAGGGAGCTTCGAACCTTCCTATGTGTAGACCTCAGCTTGGGGCTTCACTCAGCCCTGTGAATTGTGTTCATCGAGCATGACACATATCCCATGACGGATCCATGTATGCAATATATGCTAACATTTGGGGTATATTTATGGTAAATGTTACCATATATAGCATACATGGATCCTATGGGATATGAAACCAAGCGAAAGCGAATATATTCGAATAGATCTTTTGGATTTCTTCATCCTGGATGAATTCAAAGGAGTCAGACAGACCGAAGCCCACGGCACGGAGAGGGAACCAGAAACCTGGTGCAAATGGAAATCATCAGCGATATGCTTTGACGGTTGATCAAACTCACCAAACGGTGAACATGGGCATAACCTGATCAACCAGACCCAATTTTTCAAGAAATGGGGGGTTCTGATGGGTTATTGCTATTATTTTCGAAAATCAACAAACTTTGAGTTAACCACAACTTAAAGCATCTTCTATCCCCAATCTCCTGGCGTTGCCGTTAAAACCGTAGGCCTGGCCGTCCACTCCGCCCATGGCCGGCATTGATACCACGAGGCACGGCGTAACGCTTATTTCACGCAACAGATTATGAAAGATCACATGTTTTAGTGGGTAAAACTGTAAAACATATTTTTTTTTAAAAAAAAATATTTCACTTCGAATGATCCCCACCATGACATTTATACATTTTCTTACTGGCAAATCTTCTGGCATTCTATCTGACATATCTTCTGGCATTCTATCTGGCATTCTATCTGGCATATCTTCTGGCATATCTTCTGGCATTCTATCTGGCAAATCTCCTGGCATTCTATCTGGCAAACCTTCTGGCATTCTATCTGACATTCTATCTGGCATATCTTCTGACATTTTTTCTGGCATTCTATCTGGCATATCTTCTGACATTCTATCTGACATATCTTCTGACATTCTTTCTGGCATATCTTTCTGGCATATCTTCTGACATTCTGTCTGGCATATCTTCTGATATTCTTTCTGACATTCTTTCTGGCATTCTATCTGGCATATCTTCTGACATTCTATCTGACATCTTTTCTGACATTCTTCCCGTTGAGGTCCGGCAGTGCCCACTGCGATCTGGAAGTCGCGGTTGAGGTCCGGCAGTGCCCACTGCGATCTGGAAGTCGCGGTTGAGGTCCGGCAGTGCCCACTGGGATCTGGAGCTCGCGGTTGAGGTCCGGCAGTGCCCACTGGGATCTGGAGCTCGTGGTTGAGGTCTGGCAGTGCCCACTGCGACCTGGAAGTCGCGGTTGAGGTCCGGCAGTGCCCACTGCGATCTGCAACTCGCGGTTGAGGTCCGGCAGTGCCCACTGGGATCTGGACTGCGAGGAGGAGGAGGAGGACGAGGAGGAGGAGGATGCGGAGGCGGAGGAGGAGGAGAACAGCTCTGATAAAATCTAACAACCCTCACCTGGCAGGTGGGGAAAAAATCATCTATTTCTATAGGCCATGACTTCCACAGAAAACTGATAATAATTTGATTACATGGAGATAATAATGGGATAATTGTTGGGATAGTATGTATAGAATAATATAATATGAGATAATATCTATATTGGATATCATATGAGAATATGAGAAAATTTCAATGAGGTTATGATTCGATATATATATATATATATGTTAAACAAAAAACCATACTTGGGGGTTCTAAATAGAGGGTTTAACCAAGCAAAGGTAGGGGTCTATAACCAACTCTATGGGTGTGTCTGAAGGTACGGTATGCCCCCGTAAATGAGCATCAGCTGAGATCAGTTGAGTAAGGACACTGTTTCACAGTTGAGAGGTGGATTTCGGGGTACCCGGGGTACCCTATTTGCATACCAACCCTCTGGTAAACGTTTGCATAATTATGGAAAATCATGATTTTTAATGGGTAAATCAACTATTTCTATGGCCATTTTCAATAGCTATGTTTGTTTACCAGAGGGTGTATTTTTTTCTGTCGACCGACAGTGCAGCTGACATGCTCCCAGACCAGAGTTCTTGACGGCTCGTTTCAAATGCATTTTGCTCCCCCAATGCACTGAAGAGACATTGGGTCGTCAGATGTTCTCACAATTTCCCAAAGATCTAGATTGCTTCCCTCAAGTCTGTTACACTGTTCTGATTCTTGTGTGACATTTACATCATAGAGTTCATAGTCTTGGTTGTTCGGAAAATATCCTCCCAGTACACTTTCCCTTGTTGCTGGTGTTTTCCATATTCTGTCCACGCCCCAGCCCCAAAAAATGAGATAATGATCCCCTTTTGTTGCAAGATGTGTCAGCAATACGTGGCTCCACCAAACAGGTTTTTGGCTTGCGTGAGTCACTTCCTAATACCTGCGTCAAGAATGGTTCAAGTCATTGATTTATATCTCATTCTGGAGTCACCCTCTTCAATCTTTCTGGAAACCTTTCTGGTATTGATAAAATCTGATAGAGTCACTGAGTCACCATCATCAGTATACCTCCATGGTTGCTCTCATCTTGGGACCAGTTGGGTATGAATCAAAGCCGATGAAATACATTGAAATACCATAACTAGTATTATATAACATTAGAAATACCATAATATGTCTACATTATATTCTATATATGAGGGTTTCTTTAAATGATGATAATGGTGGTACCCCGAAAACCATGGGTTTCAATACTAAAATCCTCTTTAAAAAATGGATGATGCCTGGGGGTACCCCCATGACTTTCGAAAAAGCTCCGCCACCAGGCTCCAGCAACTCCACCAAATTCAGTTTGAGCTGATGAACGGGAAGGGCTTGACCCAAGCTCCCGCTGCTGCGCCATGGTTTGGTGGCCCAAGAGACCCCATTGGATCTCCTGAGACGCCCCGGTAGGTAGGATCCTGTTGGAACATCGTCAATGATCCCCTTATTTAGCGGGATGAGAGAAGAATTATACCAACTCCGAAAGAGCCATTATTTTCCCCGACTGGATGACCTAACATCACGATTGGACCGAAATCTGCGGTATTTTGTGTCTGGGATGATGATCCTCACTTGACTTTCGCGAAGCTGTCTTTTTCGGAAGGCTTGAAACCACCAGCGGGGATGGTTCTGCTGCCAGCAGATGGGTTTACTTTGGCGTCCCAAAGATGGAAAAGCTCGTTCAGCGTATTCTGAATGGATGAGTCAATGGGGAGATGACTTTTCATGGTGTTTTTTCTGGACCACTATATTGGTTATATAGGTTCAAACTTGCATCCCAGGAAACAGAGGCGGGAAGACTTGAAGCTATTTGATGTTCTGCACTGGCCATTACTTTTTTGACATGTTTGAATACTGTATGAATACCTATATTGTACATTAGTGTACTGTAGCTTTGTATTCAATAAAACAACAAAACAGCTTGGATTGTGAACAAAGCAGGCAGTATTCATCTCGTGGCATGCCTTGTTATACCGTACCTTGTTTTAGGACGACATGAACACAGCAACTTCTACAAAGATGGAACAGTCGAATTCCACCAAAATAGTGGTACCCTCCAGTAAACTAACTTTTTATTTTTATTGGGTAAATCAACGACAAATGGCCATTTTCAATAGCAAACTCTTAGTTTACCAGAGGGTAAGTTGAAAAATCCATCCTTTTTTGGAGGTTGCGGTATAGTTATCCCCAAATAGATGGAAAAGTAAATCCCTACAAATTTAATGGTGGTTTACTTTTCCATCTATTTGGGGATGACTATACATTTGAAAAACACGTTTTTTGTTTTTCGTTCACCGAGGTCAGAACGATCACTGCCGGACTACACCGCAAGCACCTCTTGTGGTACAGGCGGCGGAACGATCGAATCCAAAGAGATGCGGATTTTCTTCGCATCAATGGGGAGGTAGTGGGGATCGAACCAATGATGTTTTTTTTTTCAAATATCTGTGGTGCCATCTGCTAATGGATGGCAATATCATCCCATATCAGCCTCAAATATCTGTGGTTTCAACATGTTTCAGGCCTAATGGCATGATGAGTCCGATAGTCCGATTGACTACTGTAATATATGTGTTCAGATGGGTCAACCAGTTTAGCTTGATTAGTTTATGAATAGGGATACCATGGGATACCAAGATTTGTTTTCAGAGTTAAGGCTTCAGGATTGTTAAATATGTTTGACCTAGCCATGCACATATTCACTGATCACTTGTGGTGGTTACACCATATCAATATCAATCGTTTTCTCTTGCCGTGAATGGCAAAATACGGAGACACAAATTAGTCAATCATGACGATATATCAATATTACATATATATGTATAATGTTGTTTTCAACTCTGATATAAAGATATATATATACATAATAATTAACATTAATTTACACAACTTTCTTCGGCAGTTTCGTTTCGACTACCGCGGCAGGTAGTCTCAGCAACTACTCTTGCAGCTTGGAAGGTGGGCAACGGGGAACTCTTCTGGCCGGTTACCCTCTGTGAAATCATGGCACGAACGAACAGGCCATCGGTCTACGTTTTTTTTTTTTTAGGGTGGCAACTATTGGAGAGGATGGGAACATGATGATTTTTTTTAACAAGAAATGATGTGTTTCATATTTAAGCTAGAAATGATGGCTAGGGCTTTTCCAACTGGTTAAATTGCGATTCTGGACTACTCACTAATCCGGGAACTGGGAATCAAGCCAGAAAACAACCAGCAGAATCGGTTGGAAGAAGATTTGGGCACTACTTGGTGGCTCATCCCACTTAGTAAGTGGGTTATAACCCCAGTTATAAATGGGATAAGCAGGGTTAATCCACTTATAACTGGGGTGAGCTAACCCACTTACTAAGTGGGATGAACCACCAAGTACAGACTGGCTTGATTTCTTAATCACTCGAAGTTATGACTAAAAATCACCAACTGGCTGATGCCACGCTGCCACAGCACTGAAACTTATGACAACTTCATATCAAGTTACCAGATAGTGCCCGGCCGGTGCCGGGGCGGAAGTTTTGGAACATACAAATGGCTTTCAGAAATCAATGGCCTATGGGAAAGCTCTTGAGATGCGGAAGCAATATGAAGCAATGACATGTTGAAATGGTGAGGTCCATCAACCAATGAGCAAATGGTGGCTGAGACGCCAATGAACTGACATGAAGGAATCCATGCACAACCGATCGAATGAACCAATGACAATGAATCGATGAATCAATGAACCAATGAATCAGTGAATCAATGAAGCAACGAAGCAATGGATCAATGAATCAGTGAATCAGTGAATCAGTGAACCAATCAACGAGTAAATAGTGAGTCGATGAGTCAATGAATCCATGAATGAATCAATGCATCACTCTTGATGATTCAGTGCATCATTGCATGTCTCGGTTGTGAATGAGTGAGTCGATGAATCAATCAATGTTTCAATGAATCAACGAATCAGTACAATAAGATATAATCAGTGAGTTAGTGAGTCGATGAGTCACTGAATCAGCGCATCAATCAATCAAAGAACCAATTAATGACTCAAATTCATCAATGAACCAGCGCATCAATGAATCGATGAATCAGTGAATCAATGAATGTGTGAATTAGATGGAATTAGTGGGTTGATGAATCAGTGCACCAGTATATTTTATGAATGAGTAACTTTGTTAGTCGATGAACCAATGAATCAGTGAATCGGTGAATCGATGGTTGCGTGGACCGCTGCGTGAAGCAAATGATTCAATGATTCAGTGAGTGGATGGTTCAATGAATCAATGGGTCAATGAATTAGTGAACTAGAGATTCGATGAATCAATGAATCAATGAATCAACGAATGAATGGATGGATGGAGGAATGAATGGATGGATGAGTGAGCTGCTTGTACTTCTTTGCTGACCTACTTCTTTACTGAGCGACCTTTTCGCTGAGGTACCTCTTCTCTAAGCTACCTCTTTTCTGAGCAGCCCCCTATCTGCGCTACTTCTTCTCTGACCCTGCTCTGAGCTGCCTCACAGCTACCTATTCTGTAGCTTCTGCAACCGAATTCTTTTCTTTGCGCAGCTGTTACAATGCGTTTAGCAACCTCCAGCTGCAGTCCCGCATAGCACAAGAGTAGCACTATGGTCTAAGAGTCCAAAACTACCTTTCGCGGAGCTGTTACAATGCGTCTAGCAGCCTCCAGCTGCAATCTCGCATAGCAGGGGCATCGCAGAATCGCACATTGCTGCGTGCAGCCGTGCCATTGCGTTTCGTCACAGCCAGTTGCAAACCCGAATAGCAGGAGCGTTCCACTAACTTGACCAACGTCGGCGCAGCGTCAACAGCGCGGACCCGACCGCACAAATCCGGGGCTGCTCCGAACGTGCCCGTTTCAAACGATTGTTTTTCTCAAATCGAGCTCTCGCTACAGTCTGGCGCACATTTTCCAAAAGTGCTTCGAACGCCCTAGTTTTTAAACATTTTCAAGTGCAGAGGCCTGGAACCGTACTGTAGAAACAGAGAACCTACTTCGGCCGCCCAGGAGAGGAAAAAACACAGTGTTTTGATGTGTTTTGCGCACATTTGCTTTTCACCCGTGAATTCACATGCTCCCGAACCGTTACACTTTGCAACTATTTGATGTTTTAGTTGACGTGGTGATGTGGTGGACATGATGATTGGGGTTGGCATGATGATGTGGTTGACATCAACATAATGGTGTGAATGCTAACATAATGGCATTTTGCCAAACACCATAAAAGCATGCAACAGCTATAACTGAGTTTTATATCAGTATTGATTAGATATATGTAATCCTTTATAACTATAAACATCTCGAAACCATAGATATATTTCAGTATTAGCGGCGATCATTGAATTGCACAAGTGCGTTGGAAAAACTACAACCATAGATGAATAGCGCAATATATATATATATACACCAATATGTATATATGACTATATATATACAAATATATATATATAACTCTATGTTCTGTTTTAACCGTATAACCATAGATAACTATAGATAGCGACTATGGATAATACATAGTGAATAATATGGATAATACACAGTGAATAATATTACTCTTTTGTCGTAGCTATATATATTTATAGATATACATACATGTTATGCAATCTTTCAAACTACCACGGCAGATAATTTTAATGCTATTGTATTTGCAACCAATTATTTGTATGTATATATATATATATATCACTATCGCTGGAGATAGCTATTACTAAAAGTTAAACTAGTGTTGGTAATAGTGGTACCCGTGTCATTATTGGAGTTAGTGATCCGGACATAATTTTAGACCTGTTGATATCACAGTGGTACGAATAGTAATTATAATTAGTATATAGAAACAGTGATATTAACCACTACAACTACAACCATCATTTGAGTATACAGTATGTTTTCTCCGTTGTTTGTTTGTTGTTATTGTTTTTTTTGAAAAATAGATAAAGACAACTATCATATAGACATTATTAGTTTTTACTTTGTTTATATATAATATCTGAATAAATGTCATGATATTTTAATATTATTACTATAAATTGATTAGATATAGGTAATTATATAATATAACCTATATTTACTATATTTATGATAAATGTACCCTTATAGACTATAGATTTATGATGTATATATATATACTATATATAAATATATTATAACTATGTTGTCATATCACTGTATGATAATCCTGTATAACATATATATATATATATACACCATATATAAAGGATAAGTATAACTCGAACTGTTCATCCTTTTAGAACATCGGCAAACAACGCGCCCGCTGAAGGCGCTGCGCGCAGTGCGTTGGACCTGGACCCTGCAAAGGTGGACCCTGAGGCGCGGCGTGCCCAACGCAGGGGAAACAGTGGATGCCAACGTCCCGTGGATTCGTTCCTGTATTACCCTCCGGTAAACTAACATAACCATGGAAAATCACCGTTTTCAATGGGAAAATCCACTATAAATGGACATTTTCAATAGCTATGTTAGTTTACCAGAGGTTAATCACCCAAAAAAAATGACAAGAAAACCGTGTTGCGAAGGAATAACTAATGACACATATGACATGTCGGTTTTTCTAAGACCTAGGAGAAACAAAGAACAAATTCCTCAAGTCGGGTCCAGTTGCCTTGGAGTCACCGTATTGGATAGCAGGGCCAGTATTTGTAGTCCTTAATGTATCTTTATATTGACTATAATATGTACCCTCTGGTTATTTAACATAGCCATGGAAAATGGCCCATGGAAATAGATGGTTTACCTATTAAAAATGGTGATTTTCCATGGCTATGTTAAATAACCAGATGGTAAATTCTCGTGACGTCACTGTGACCTCACTGTGACCTCACTGGAATCAAGTTAGTACTGTAAGGGGATGTAAGGGGTATATCCCAAATGGCCTTGTTTCACGTTCGTGGAATAGTGTAATTTACCCATATACACATGCATACACCAATTCCCTATGTAATCTGATCGCATCAAGTTCAGCTTCATAAAAACAGAGTCAGTTTGTTTCAATTGGCACTCAATATCCAACCTATATGTTCAACCCTACAATGATAGACGCCTGTTATTAATAACTAATGGGGGGGTCACCCCCAAATAGTGATAATTTGCAATCAGAATGGTACCCCCACAGTTATGCACGCTCAGTGGTTAATTAATCCAGGGGTGACATTAAGTAATTGACCTAGACGCAATTATAATGCCTATAAATATACTGTTTGCCGGTGTTTTGGCATAAAACAAGACACATCTGCGGGTTTCCTAAAATGGGGGTACCCCCAGTTCTCATTCATTTTTTTGGTGATTTTCAACGAAGACCATCTATAGCTATTGGGGTACCCCCATGACTCATAGAAAGCCCCATCTCACGAACTCAGCGTAAGCCATGCCCATGCCCAGCTGCGACGCCAGGGGCCAGACTTTAGCTGGATTGATCAGATTGTCGGTGAAGATGGCCTGGAGGTGGGAATTTCCGAGGTCAATGAGATCCCGGAGAAAAGTTGGATTTTACAGAAAGAAATGAAGGATTTAAGCACCACAGAACTATAACCAATACACACAATACAGAAATTATATGGAGAGATCTATGTGATATATTTGGGTATGGGTCAAAATTGGGGTGCCTTCTAGACCGGTAAACGTGCTCGTCATTTTTGGTGTTAACCTTCTAGAACAACCATTATCAGGGAAGGTTCAGGTAAAAGAAATGCCCAATCGGTGAGGGTCCATAGAGGTCTTGCAGTATTTTTTTGTACCACTGGAATGATGGTGAATGTATAGAGAATTAGTATATAGTTGTGGACATTTTGGGCATTTTTTTTTAAATTATGTAAATTCAATTTTTTGGGTGTTTGTCCTCCCTAGGCGGGAATTCCAAAAGTGTGTCTAGGTGCTGTGGATCCATATTCCGAACCCCGATCTCCATACATTCCCCTGTATTCCCCGTGTCTTTTGTTGTATTATTCTCAGTTTCTGCAGGTTGCATCTATGAACATGGGCAATACAAAGATGCATAATGTGGATATGTGGCATGTCGAGGTGTTGATGGTTGAATCTCCACGTTTGCTTGTTTTTTCAACAAGTTCCACACTTTTGATGCTGAAAATCCATTTGAATCCGAGTTTCGAATGATGAAATCCATATTTGTGCTGGTTGACTCACCACTTCTGACGGCTCACTCCCTATTTTTGGCTGTTTGAGAATCAACGTCGGGTCCTATGAAGGTGTCCGATGAGGTGGCTAAGGCCATTGTGGGAAAGCAGGGAAGCCCATCGGATTGACGACTGGGAAGTGGCTGTTTATTTTTGAAATCAAGCATCCCCAAGTCACCAAGGGTTTCAATACTAAAGTGGTCTAATTTTGGAAGATTTGGGGGTATCCCCATTTTAGGAAACCTTCATATGTATTATATATATATATATTATACACAATATATACGTATATATATATACATACATATATATATATAATCACATAATATTACATACATTACTATATATATATATATACATGTACAGTGTATTGTGAGTACTATATTTGTATGATGTATGATAATACGTAATAGTATGTGTATTATACTATATTATACTATATTATACTATATTATACTATATTGTACTATATTATACTATATTATACTATATTATACTATATTATACTATATTATACTATATTTTACTATATTATACTATATTGTACTATATTGTACTATATTTTAATATATTTTACTATATTATACTTTATTATACTATATTATACTTTATATACTATATGATACTATATTTTACTATATTATACTATATATTATACTATATATTATACTATATTTCATACTATATTTCATACTATATATCATACTATATATCACACTATATATTACACTATATATTACACTATTTATCATACTATATATTTCACTATATATTACACTAAATATATATATATATATTACACTATATATCATACTATGTTTTATTTTATATATTATACTATATATTTTACTATATTATACCATATATCATACTAGTTATGATACTATATATTACACTATATATATTATACTATATATTATACGATAAACTATACTATGAATTATACTATAAATTATACTATAAATTATATTATAAATCATACTTTATTATACTATATTAAACTTTTAAGTTATGTAATGTTTTGTCCTAGGGTATGTAGAGTCATGTTATGGTAGGCTCTGTTCTGTTAGTCCGTAATTATGTACAGTAGTGGATGAGAATTATATATATATACATACATCAGAAATGTGCAACTGAGTTGCTCATCATCAACGCACTTTTGGTGATCATTCCACTCGGTGAACGGTCAATCACCAAGTGAACTTGGGAGAAGATGTCAATCATCCAATCCTCAAATCCTCTCATGAAATGATAATCGCGGCCAAAACCGTCCAAACTTCCCCCACCAGGAAAACCGACTACAGCAACCATGCCAGAATTGGTTGATGGGAAAATAGGAAACATCTATATTTGGGGGGTGAAAAAAAACATGAAACCATGGGTTTCCTGCAGACAAAAATCCGTTGAAGAAATCCATCGAAATCGGAGATTGGTGAAATTGGTCGTGTTTAGTGTGGAAACCGATGGTGTCGGGGGTGACCCATGCTAAGAAACCCCATATAATAAGATATACGATTCGAAATTGAATACATTTATACATTGTTATACATTGGTATTTTAAGCGAGCTCATAGCCAACCAAGCCCCGCAAAGCATTGGCGAAGCCATCGACAAAAGGCCATGAATCAGGTGTGACGAAAAATATATGGACGAGAAACTACCACACATTTACAGAGAGGGCGTATCATTGTGGATGTGTGACCCCCATGAACACCAAGCTGTGTTGTAGATTTGATTCAATGGGAATTTCAGGATCCTAAATATCCTAAATTAGAGGTACCTACCATATATAAGGCCATATTGTGGGGATATTCCCGTGTAGATTTGGATGAACATTTTCAGGACTTTTCTTCTTCAAAACGGTGTTGGCCCTCAAATCTCCATGCTTAGATTCGTATCTGGTCCTATCACGAAAAAATCAGCTACCCTCTGGTAAACTAACATAACTATGGAAAATCACCATTTTTAATGGGAAAATCCACTATAAATGGCCATTTTCCATTGCTATGTTAGTTCACCAGAGGGTACCCTCTGGTTAAATCACCATGTTCATGGCTTGCATATGCTTGCTATTAAATAGCCAGACGCTAAATCTTCCCATATTTTGTTGCTTCATCATGTTTATTCTATGGTATCCCATGCAGCTTTGAAGAGAACCAGACGCCTTCGTGTTCGGTAGATCCGCATCTTATGCCTTTTCATTGTGCCCTAAATCCCCGATCAATGTTATTCTTGTGGATTACATATACAGTACCCTCTGGTAAACGTTTACATAACTATGGAAAGATCCACCATGCTATCAATGGGTAAATCCACTATTTCGACTGGGCCATGTTCAATAGCGAACTTTTGACATAACCAGAGGGTAAATCAGTCTGAAAATAAGATGGGAGTCCCCCCCCAAATCATTGGCTTCATCGTCACTGCGACGAAAATTGCCCATCAAACTGGTGGCCCATTTAATAATTTCTCGACACACTCATCAATCCTAAAGAAATCCCATATACTTACTGGTGCTAAACGTAGGGAATGGATGGGAATGGGGGTTGCTGGGATGATTATTACTAGTGATTACGGGATGATTATTACTAGTGATTATCACCAGTAAGTATAACTCAATAGGATACATAAAAATCGATATATATATATATATAGATTCCAACTACATCCCATATGACCTAAAAATCCACCAAGAAAAACAGCCTCCCTATCAATTTTGAAAGCCCAGGTCAGCCGCCAAGCACCGTAGCGAGCTATTGCAGGCTGCTGGATGCCTCAGCGTTTTTCCGTGGGATTTCACCTTTGGAAAATGGTGATTCACTGGGGTTTGCATGGGAATTTCATGGTGAAAAATGGGGATTCAACTTTAATTGGGATTTATTGATTTTAAGGGGATAGCCTCTGGTAATTTAACACTTTGCGTTAACTAGAATCTGTGGCCCATGGCTAGTTCGATGCTTGAGCTAGGAAAAATCGTGACTTTCAGGGAATTTTCCATAGCTATAGTTGAATTACCAAACGGTAAAATGTGGATATAGTCGGTTTTTTTCACCAACGATGATCTATATGGGGATGGGTCAAAATGGAAGACCGATGTGGAACCACAGATGTGAATGTCTAGTTTAGTATTAACCATCCATAATTTTGGGGTACCTAATGACTTGACCCATAGATCTATATAAATGTTTAATTTCCAACATCGGGGTTTTTGGTACTTAAAAATGGCTTTAGTTTGCTCCAAGATATGGCCAACTACTGGAGGGTAACGTGGTATTCACGTGAATACGTGGCTAGTGTTTGGACATTTCCGTCAGTATATCTATATCTATATCTATCTATTATATATTCGCTATTATTCGCTATTTACCATTTGCTTGCCTGAGGAGTTATCGCATTCCGTTTCACCAGTTTTGCTTGTTATTTTGTTGGTGCTCTTGATTTGCATTTCTCTTGTTTCACATTGCCTAGTGTTTGAATTTTATTGGAGGTGCCAAACGGGCACTTGTCCAGGGTTTAACACGACTCCTGAGCTTTTAGTGTAACGCGAACTGCGTGTTCCTTCCTCGTGCCTTGGCAGCAGAAAAAAACATCTGTCAGCTCTCAGCATCCTAATGATTAGCGATTTTTGAGACCTCAGTAGCCTCACTGGCCATATTTATGGTTGCGATTGGCACAGAAAACATCCCACCATGGGCCAACATTGAAAAAAAACAGGAATTGGTGTACTTTGCCCAGAAAATCCAGAAAATCAGCCATAAAATCCAAGATCATAAGATGAAACTTGCCCAGAAAATTATGGTACCTTCCACCCTGTACTCAACGAAACCCTGGTACATCCGAGTTCATCTCAGGTGGTGTGGTAGAACGCCGAACGTTCAGATCTTGTGATCTTAGCGGGCAGCCGAGTCGGCTGAGTGCTTGCACCCGAGTCGAGATAGGATCATGGTACCATCTCCGTTGAGAACACTGTGGGTGCACCGGGTGCGCGGCGTGCAAGCACTCTCCATGTTGCGAATGGTTGAACCCTGCTTTGGTTGGACCAGCCCTCAACGAGCTAAAAACCGCAATGTGTTGTTCAATGCTGCAGAAATCGTAAACTCAGGCGCATCCAGAATCCACATCTAATTATACAACCAGAGTTGTGCTCTTGAAGAAAATCCACACATGATTCAGTACAATACATCTTTTTTCTAAGGGATGAGGATGACCAGAATATTGCGAAAGTCAGCATTTGTTACCAGAAACGGTTCCAGAAGTCTTCCAAGAGTGTCAGGCTAGTCATAGTCATTTGCTTAGTGTTAGGGGTGGACTTGACGTGCTAGCCACTCGCTTGAAGCTCACAGTATCGTGAAATTTAAGATCAAATTTGGACATTCAGATTCCCTACCAACACACTGCACTTATGCCTCCTCTGGAAGTATGTGTCTCCCAAAAAGTCCGGAAGGAATTGAACACGGTCAACCCTGCCAAATTGTTATGGCAAAACCACGGCTTTCCCATATTCGTTTGGTATTGGTGCAACATCAAAACCACAGAAACGCTCAAAGCTCTCAAGATATGGAGGGGATCTGATCGAAGTTCCGAAGCGCCAAGGGGGTTTGATCATTCTTTCACGGAGACTCGTTTGCCTTCTGTCGAGTTGGGTTGAGTCATGCCGCTCACAGTTGTATTTCAATTGAACCTAGCTCCCTGCCTGAATAGGTAGAATATAGATAGAATCAAATTCTATCGGCCAATTGCAGTTTGAATAAATGGAAGCAAGTTAGACGCATCACATCTGTGCACGCCATCATGCCTTGTCATAGCCAGCTCAAAGATCTCAAAGCTTGTTGTTCATCTCCGAAGGGAACTCGTTTGGAAACCATTGAAGTTTATTTTATGTACTTCCAATCAGTGGGAGGGCGTACGGGCAACATTGCACTGAACAATGGTTTGTACATCTTTGTACCTTCGATATCCAGGATGTTTCTGTAATCATCCCTTGAACTAAGTCTAGGACAAGGTTTATGAACAGCAACGATATCATTGGGATGCAGCTGCCAACAAGCTGATGCAATTAATTCTGACCATACGAAAAAAACAGCCTTGTCAGTAGCCAGTGGCTTTTATTGTTTGCCGTGAGTGGGGCGCTAACATATCTCTTACCCGACGACTGTGCAAAGTAGTGGCACGCTCGAAGGCATGTCGTTGTGACTTGCTGCCTATGGTGCCCGGCCAGGATGTACAGCTTTCCCTGGCTTATGGTGACCGTTGCAGCGAAGTTCTTGAGACTTGATGAGAGGACGAATTTGTGTTCTAGAACTTGGCCTGTAAGAGCTAGTTTTCTTGTCGGATCACCAGGATTTTGTTGCTTCGTATTTACTGATTGTTGCGTGGTGATCTTTTGGTGACATGACATGCCAGAGCTGCGAACAGTAGCTACAGAATCTCGGGCGAACAGCTGCCTCCTAGACGTTTGAGCCCAGCTGGTTTCACAATGTTCCACAAGAGTCGTGGATTGATTTTTTGTTCAATGTTACAGAGCATCACAGAACAGAATCACAGCAGTTGTGACAAGAAGGCGAGTTTCGCTGAGGGCTCATGCGTAATTTCCAAACGTGTCGGCCTGCTGTGGGCGAACACATCCGCAGCAGCCAATTGTCGGGGCACCCAGGAAGTTCCCTTCCGCTTTTTTGGTCATTTTTCTTGGGGAGCTGTGTTGGAATCTCTAGTGGTAGTGAAGGCACCCATAAAAATGGCAAACTTGGGGATGATGTATATGGATCCTATTGCTTTACGAACATTACTTCGGATTAGATCTACAGTTTTATAACAATCTCAGTTGTCAGCTTGCTTTGGCTCAAATAGCGAAACGATCCAACATTTGGTAGGACATACCAACCATCACCAACCCCACAATTCCCATTGAGGAACTGGGCAGACCGTATGGCCCATTTCCAGACATGTCCAGACTGTCTGGGTCCTTTTTTCGACACCGTTCGACACCTGTCACATGCATATATATATATATATAGGTGATGTTCCTCCATTTCATGGTATTAAATCCACATGTCTGGTGATTTCGATGGGGTTTCACCATCATCTTATCCATCATATCCATCTTCAATAGTTTTTTCATCCCACAAAAGCTTCTTGATGCGGAATTTTTATCCGCATCTAAAGTTCAATATGTCTTGATGCAAACAGTTAAACCGTCTCTTCAATTGTTAAATCCATTTATGTCTAAGGATGGTTCTATCATGTTTAATCCCGATAGGTTCAATTCCGATTTTATCCTCATCCAGCATTGAATTGGCGGCAGAGCCAACCATGTTTGATGGTTAAATCGTTATTTTCCTCTGTTTGAATCTCAACTGTTGATGGTCAAACTCAATTCTATTTTCGATGGTGAAATCCGCACTTCAGGTCTCCCAGACCTACGGGAGGCAGCCCCGAGGTCCCCGCGGGACCTTGTGGGGAGCATTGGAAGGTACGTCAATAGGGGCAAATTTAAATGTACGTCAATTCACCCAGATTGTGAACATGAATTAACCACATGTAACATCATTTAACTTTCATCATCCATAATCATCCTATATCCGGCACAGACATTTCTCTGTGCAAATCAATCAGTGACCTTACGTCGTGACCTGCCGGGATGGGTCAAAATCTAAGCCCCAGAAGGGACCACAGGTTTTTTTTCCATAGATGTTGAGTATTGACAATTTAATTCTTGGGGTAGCCTTTTTCGACCAATCCCCATGTTGTAACCTCTGAAACATGGGCTTATAATGGTTTTTATATGTGTTTATCATCTCTTTCTCGAAATGGGGGTAGCCCTAAATCATCCATTTATATCCATTTTAGATTGGGATTTTCGATTTGTCCCTTATAACCCAAGCATTTTTGGAGACCTCCCTTTATGGTACGGTATCCCCGGCTTTGACAGCCGTTGGTCATCTGCTGGGTTGTGTGCCATGAGGATTTTGCCGATCAATTGTTGCTGCACCGATTTTGATTGGTCACAAGCGCAGTTTTGTTGCTTCAATGTATAATAATTGAATCACACTTCTTGCTGATAAAGTCTCAATTTTAACGGTTGTTTCAACCCACATTGGTTTAGATGTTGGTTAAAGCCACAAATCTTGGGTTGGTTTCACTGTTTGTGCTGATGATATCAATATCCCTACTCTGTGCTGTGAAAAATCCACATTTCTTCGTTCGAGAAATCCGAGTTTTTAGATATCTCCATCGATTCTTCGAATCCAAAGCTGTTTGCTGATCTCGTCTGGTTCAACTCCTATTTTTTTGAAGCGTGGTTTTTTTACAATGGTGAAGCCCCCACAATGGTGAGTCGCTATGGTGTTAAACAGCTGGGAAGCCGAATCGCTATTGTTGCTGGTGAAGCCCCCGCAATGGTGAACTCCACAGAAACAAGGATTTTTTTATTCACATCTTCAGTGAATAAAATCACGTGAGATCCCAGTCTTTTGGTGAAAACACACCATTTAAATAGATGTTCAAACAAAACAGATGTGAAATGGTGAATTCAATGGTGTTTGAAGATGTGAAAATCTTGATGGTTGAATCCCGTCAATTCATCCCCAGGCCCAGCAGTTGTTTTGGCGCCACCATTCTTGATGGGCAAATATCCCTAGGTTTCCTATTCTTATTATTTTAATTTGGTAGACCCTTATCCATTATTATCCATGATCCACTATCCATCATGATCCATTATAATTAGCAAGAAATGGATAAATCAGCCGTTGATTTATCACCATTATCCATTGTTTATCCATGTTAGTTATTAATTATCCAATATCAACCGTTGAATGATAATTAAGCCACTCATACTCTCATTTCTGAACTATATTATTTTATAATATTAACACTTATGAACCATATTGTCCATTGATTTACCACGTTAACTCCTTGCTTTTTGCCGCTGTGAACCGTTGCTGTTCGTTGCCAGGTCCTCTTAGATGCTGGGCGAAACCGCCCCGCTTGCGGCGACCTCAGAGATGGGATGAGAGGAGCCGTGACATGGGACATTGGATGGGAATTTCCAATAGGAAAACCATAGGAAAATGGTGATTTTCTATAGTTAACATAGGAAAACCATAGGAAAATGGTGATTTAACCACTACGAAAATGGTGATTTTCTATAGTTAACAATGGTGAACAATGGGATGATATGGTATAATTATACCCCCTGGTAATTTGTTACATAGCTATTGAAAATGGCCATAGAAATAGTGAGTTTTCTCATAAAAAAATGGTAGATATTTCCATAGTTATGTTAGTGAGATAATGAACATGTCCACGGATAGGATTTTCCATCATCCATCTAATTTCCATTTAGATAGGATTTTTAGATGGGAGGAGCTTTTGAGATAATGAAAATGTCCACAACCTACATCGACCGAGCAAATACCAACCATGAAGTCTACAGACGTGCTAATTTGGAAATGGGCCTAGGTGCAGAGGAAATCATCCATCCATTAAGTGCGGTTCTACAGGAAAAGCGAAGAAACGTATTGGGGCATATAATCAGAAGACCAAGAGATCACCCACAACATCAAGCCACTTTCGCTACAAGAAATCTTTTGCCACAACAAGTTGAACACAGAAGGGTGGGTCGCCCTAGAGCGGCATGGACGTATGAAACAATGAAAGATTGCTGGTGCAGAAAATTTCACAATATACCATTTCAAATACAGAACAGGGAACACCGTGAACAAATAAAAACATGGGCTCTCAACCGAGAAGATCCTTTTTGACAGTCTTTTTCACCTATAGGACGAACAGCTGCTGTAGTGGTGCCAACGGGTCTCACCCAGACCTATGGGTTGAAAAAAAACATGAGATAATGATGGGATAATGGGATAGTGGGTATGTGATATATGTATTAATTGTGTATATATATATATATTTTTTTGGGGGGCCCTTCCCCCCCCACTAACAGTTCAAGACTGCCCCCCCTAGGTATGGAGGTTTCCTAGG